GTGGAGTTTGCATGTTCTCTCTGTCCATGCATGAGTTTTCTCCGGGTACTCCAGTTTCCTCCCACAGATCAAAAAAATGCATGTTAGGCTGACTCGTAACTCTAAATTGTCCCTAGGTGAGAGTGAGAGAGTGAATGGTTGTTTGTCTCATTTCTATGTGTCCCTGTGATGGACTTGCAAACTCTCCAGGGTGTCCCCCGCCTCTCGCACAGTGATAGCTGGGCATGGGCACCAGTGACCCCCGCGACCTGAAAAGGAAGAAGCGAGTAAAGATAAAGCATGGATCAATGGTTGGATGGATGGATGGATGGATCAATGGTTGGATGGATGGACATCTACCCAACTTATACTTTTATAAGAACTAGATTGAAGTTTGATACTGCTGGATGCACATTTTGTGATAATGAAGAAAAGGATTTACATCATCTTTTTTCCACTGTAGTGTCACTCAAGACTTTTGGAGCAGTATGTGGTGTTGGCTTCAGGCCCAGGGAATTGAACTGCCAGCTCTGATTTTGACAATAATAAAATTTGGTGTTTATTTGCAAAACTCTAAAATATAATTTTTAATTAACCTAATATTACTAGGAAAGATTTTTGTTCATAAATGTAGATTTTTTTTAAAGGTGAATCCAAATATATGTCATTGGGAGAACTACCTGAAATGTTTTTGTGAGTCCTTTAATTTGGTTAAAAGTAAATCTGCTCAACAAATTTATACTTTGATTAATAATTTTGATTTGATGTAAACCTACAATTGTTCCTTGCTATGTTAATTTTTGGTATTTTATATTTTTTGAATGTATACAACTCAACCTGTGAAATTTAATTGTTACTTTGTATTACATTGGTTGCCATGGTTTGTTTGTAAATTCTTGTTCTTAATGAAAAATAAAGAAAAAGCATTGGCATTGCTTGGTCACGCGGTTGCTATGGCAACGGGCTGTCGCGTTCACGTGATTATGTTTAACCTGAAAAGGTGGAAAATTTGCGGGTTTGCAAAGATAATAAGGAGATATTTTAAAAAAAAAAGTAGGATTTTATTATTGTGGTTTAGTTACAGGTTTAATAAAAACATTATAAGGTTACTGCTTTCGTATAAAGCTATTTCTTTTGGCCTCTTATGTTTTACGCTAACCGGTTTTTTGCTAACAGCTTGGAGCAGTTTATCTCCGCCCACAGACACGTGACCCAGGTCACATGATGGTAAGCTTGATACTACGCCCCCGATTCACCCATCTGAGCGAGGCTAGCTGTTAGCTTCAACTGTCAAGACGGCGACATGGTGAGTGTGAAAACAAGCGTACGCTTTAGCGTAGCACTATGATTTATTATTCTTTTAGTTGGTATTTAAAAATCAGTTGACTCTACAAGGGTCACTTGTGTACACTTGAAGATGTTTGACATTTTAATCTGACAGGAGATTTGCGCTATCAGGGTTGGGCTAGTTAGCATCAGTACGAAGGCGTTTTTCTGTCTTGATTCTCTTAATAAGACATGGGTTTCGATAAATTATACTAGTAGCAGCAAGGCATTACTGTCAACTATTTAGATTTGTTTTTATGTACATATTATACATATGCACAGTAATCAGATACCAGTTAGTTTTAGCTAACGCAACTAGTTAGCTGACTGCAGAATATGAAGTTGTATCCTCATGATGTTGCAAACTGAATGACCAATATAGTTCTGCAACTTACTTTCTTGTTCATTTAGGAACAAATCTGCTTATTGCAAGTTGTTGCTCTGTAAAATTATTGCAAAGTTTTTGTGTTTACCACTGACTGGTTGGTTGATTGATTGGTTTGTGTAGCTGAGCTGATTGCTTCAGGTTTTCAGCTTCTGTATGCTGAAGCATCATGTGATAATGACTGTGCCAGCTCAGAGGGAAATAATGTCGCTGTGCATCTGGTGATGATTGAGGTTGTTGTGGCAGTAATAGATTGTTGCCATTCTTCTTAAATGACTAAGCAGCAGTGGGGATTTGTTATGTTCGAGCTCACACTTGGACTTTTGTCAGAACACATTCATCCATCATTTTAGCCCATGTATAGGCTGACCCATGTGTTCTAAACAATGTTTACTTGACCGCTACTATTGTGCTTGTCATGATTATTTCATCATCCCACTCACTCCCATGTGTCTTTTTACAGTCTGGTGTAGCTAAAAACAATGTGTCTTATTTAGACTATATTGTTTAATTTTCTCTTTTAATAATTTGAAAGCTTATTTAATAATGTGGCTGCTTGGCATGTCTGTAAACTTTCCAAATAATTGCATTTTTGGATTTTTAATATGAACAAGTTCAATAGCTACAGTTTGACAACCACATGTTCTCTTCTGTATACCTTATGCTGTTGGCTTAGATCCTTTTTATTTTTCCTGTACTTTCAGAGTTTCCTGGGAGGCTTATTTGGACCTGTATGTGAGATTGATGTGGTGCTGAATGATGCAGAAAACAGAAAAACAGCTGAGTTGAAGACAGAAGATGGAAAGCTGGAGAAACACTACCTTTTCTACGATGGAGAATCGGTGTCGGGCAAGGTAAACTTGAGTTTGCCTTTTCCGTGCAACAAAGTGCAGGGCTCCACAAAAGTTTACTGTGGTGGTTCAGCTTGCATTAGGCAGGGCACATTTCACTGTAATATTCAAGTCTATTTAATATTCCCTCTTTTTAACTCCTGTGAGAAAATAAGATTCATTTGAAGAATCTAAGAGACTTGTCTTTGGCTTCAGGGGAAACTGAAACCTTTTGCTTATTAAAGCCAGAAAATGTAATAGTCAATGTTTCCTCTTTACTGACTTATCCTTATGATTTACTTTTGCTTATTTTAATAAAGAGAAATAATAACAGAGTTATCCATGGTTCTTTTCAAACTCATTTTTGAGCTAGATAGATGTGTGGACTCTGGAAAAATAAAGAAAAGAAGTTTAAATGTTTCCTGATAATGGAAATGTTTGTGTGTGTGCCAAATTCCCTTGGGCTGGGGACAGAATAAATGTTCTTCATGATGCACTATGTCTCAACAAATGTTTTCTTTCCAGGTGAATTTAAATGTAAAGCAGGGAGGAAAGCGACTGGAGCATCAGGGTATTCGCATCGAGTTTGTTGGACAAATAGGTGAGCACAATGGATTTATATATATCACTATGTGCTGTCACTGCTTCCCTGACTTTTGCTTGAAGGCCCCTTGTAACTGCTTGGAAACATACTTCTATGTTGTAACAGTGTGCTGTTGGCTTACTCCAGTGGCTGAAAGGTTTAACAGGGCATGTGGTTATCATGTGCTGTCTGTCAAAGTAGAGCTAAATCAGCAGTATTTGCTGTAGAAGAAAAAATGTGTAGACTAAGCTGAAAGAACATAAAACACTGGTATAAAAGACATTGTATGAATCTTGTTTGCTGCTAAATTGATTTTTTTTTTTTTTTTTTTTCTACACCATCTTGAATATAAGCCACTCTGGTAACACTAGATTGTATGGTTCTTCTCAGCACGGCCCTTTCCAGTTTTATTTTTCCCTGCAGACAGTATCATTTTGACAGATGGGGTAAACTATCATTGCAGTGTACTTAAAGCTGTGGTGATACGAGACACAAGATTTGTGTGAGGGGGAGGGGGGCACGTGTATGTGCGTGTGTGTGTGTGTGTGTGTGTGTGTGTGTGTGTGTGTTTATAAAATCTTACATTGATTATCTGACACATTAGTCTAAAGACGTGTACTAGTAAGCAGTGTGAAGGGACAAAGACCGATTGTGGCACCTTTTGAGTTTGTAATATAACCACTATACACTGCTCAGCTTTAGCCTGATGACAAAAACAAGATGGTTATTATAAAAAAAATAAAAAACTTGTGTGGCTAATAAATTATCTCTGATTTATGGTGTAAATTGTATAAAATAATTTTATTTGACTTGGTTGTCTGATGTGAAAGTGCCGTTATTTCTGTCTGTGTTTCAGAGCTGTTCTCTGATAAGAGCAATACCCATGAGTTTGTGGACTTGGTGAAAGAACTGGCTTTGCCCGGAGAACTCACCCAGAACAGAAGCTACGACTTTGAGTTCATGCAAGTGGAGAAGCCCTATGAGTCCTACACTGGAGCTAATGTCAGGCTAAGGTAAACTAATAATAATTTGAATTAAAACTGTAATAATCATCATTTTAAATGGTGCACCCACATTTATTTTTAGCCTTATGAATAAAACGATCTGTTTTCGTGATGTCTAGGTTCACCTTTATGGTAGATTGTTTATCTCACCTTTCTCTGTTACTCAGTTGAAGGGGAATAAGAGATGTGTATTCAAGGGTCCAAGAGTAAATTCAATAAAGCCAAGAATGATATGAATGTTATTTGTGTCTTGTGCTAAAATTAAAAATGATCTCTGTACATGTTTCTTTTAAGGCTCAGTGTACTCACAAGCAGTAGATGTGAGGAGGAATGGGTGGAGACTAAAATGGGTTTACACTGTTGACTAAAGTGTATTTTTCTGTTATGATGCTTTCTAAAGATAACGGACTCTTAAGTTTAAGTGACATCATGTTGTGTGTTATTCTCAGATATTTTCTCAGGGTGACGATAGTTCGTCGTCTGTCTGACTTGGTGAAGGAATACGAGTTAATTGTCCACCAGTTAGCTACCTACCCAGATGTCAACAACTCCATCAAAATGGAGGTCGGCATAGAAGACTGTCTTCACATTGAGTTTGAATATAATAAGTCCAAGTAAGATCATTATCGCTTTTACTGAAATTTATTTTAATGCCATAGACAAACCCTAATCCACAAGGCCTGCTAAACTATCAGTTTAAGTTTTTATTCATTTTTAATTTGTCAGATATCACCTGAAGGATGTGATTGTTGGGAAGATTTACTTCCTGTTGGTCAGGATCAAGATCCAACACATGGAGCTCCAGCTCATTAAGAAGGAAATTACTGGCATTGGTAAGAATTCACAGAAGCTGCTTAAAAAAAAATACTTCTAAATGAACACATGCAAATTAAGTGTATTGAGGCTTGTGCCAATATTTTTGAGGGTTCATCACTTTTAAGATTTCATTGCTGCAATTTTCTTGCTCTTTTGTAAATGGAAGTGGTCCCATTGAAATAATATAAACTTTGTTTGCTTTGCCTCATGTTATCCTAATCTATTATTTTCACTTATACATTTTTTTGCCCTTTCTTCTAGGTCCTAGCACAACCACAGAAACGGAGACGGTTGCAAAGTATGAGATCATGGATGGGGCTCCAGTAAAAGGAGAATCCATTCCAATCAGACTCTTCCTGGCAGGTAAATACTTGCTTTATTGTTTGTTTTTTAAGCATGTGTGGAGCCATGCAACTGACTTTGTACAATGTTCTATCATCAGTGTGTTATATTTTCAGTAAACTTTAAAATAGACTTATGTGAATGTGTCAGTTACACAAGCTCTGCTTCTCGCAGGATACGACCTGACTCCCACCATGAGGGACGTCAACAAGAAGTTCTCAGTACGTTTCTTCCTCAATCTGGTGCTGGTGGATGAGGAGGACCGAAGATACTTTAAACAGCAGGTAAATGCACTAAATACATACCAATTAGATTTATTATTTTTATGATAGTACTAGAAATGTTTTCCAGTAGTCGCCTTACTGAGCAGGTTTATTTGAAAACCAAATGTTGTCATAATTTTATTTGAATTTTCTTTAAATTAATATACTTTTTAGAATTTACTTTTTAGTAATGTTTGGCTGCATTTTAACCATGATACAAACATGTAAGCTTGTTCTGCAAGTACAAAACTTCCCGTAAACCTACTCGATTGATTTGATGCAGTAAAGTTTGTCTTAAACTGTGATATACACTGAGAGAAGTCACTCCTGTACGCCTGCATTCGTCTCTGTTTTTGAGGCAGACTGTACCTTTGGGTTAGGGTTTTTCATAACTACGTTATCTTTATGAATAAGGTTAAAGAGACTACAGAAACTTTAAAAAAAAAAAAAGTAAAAAAAAACTTTTGTTTTGTTGTTTTATGGCCCTAACTGATTTAGTAATTTTTATTATTGTTGATTAATTTTGTTTTTATGACTCTTGAAATATAGCACTTTGAGATTTACAAATGTAAAGTGCTCTATAAATTGAATGCATTATTCTTGATTTGATATTGATTTTATTTTTTAAAGCATGCTCATTGGCATATCTACATTTAACAAATACAAGCTGTGAGTTCAATGTCTTTCATTTCTGACGTACAGTTTTAAAACTCTTTGTATGTTGATTATGGGGCGGCTGTGGATGAGTGGTTAGAGCAGTCGTCCTCCAATGCGAGAGTTGGGGGTTCGATTCCACCAGCAGTCACATGTTGAAGTGTCCTTGGGCAAGACACTGAACCCCTCATTTCCTCCGATGTGTGTCCCATTGGTGTATGAATGTGATAAAGCTCTGATTAGTCTTTGCAAAGATCTAGTAGAGTGCTGTATGAATGGGTAAACGAGGACACAGATTGTGTTGTAAAGTGCTTTGAGTGTCTTGATAAGATAGAAAGGCGCATATAAGTACAGTCCGTTTACCATTAACACTACAAATCAAAAATGTTACATCATTCAGCTCTTTAACTCTATTGTGTTTTTATGGCAGTCTTGATGATTTTTCTGCATATAATTTTAGGAGAAGTTTCATTAGGACTTTTAAATGGCACAAATTAATTTCTCTGTTTCCTAAACATTTATTATTTTGGTTTAATTAATCACTCTGCATACATATTTTTCATTCAACCTTTATACATACAGATAAATCACATTGAGCCTCGAAGACTCATTTACAAGTGAGACCTGTTTGAAAATGAAATGAAAATATTGTGTTTCATATATTATGTCCTTTTTAATTTTGTGTTAAGGAGATTGTGTTGTGGAGAAAAGCTCCCGAGAAGCTGCGGAAAAGAAACTTTCACCAGCGCTACGAGTCGCCTGAGCCCCGAAACCAGCCAGCCAATGCAGAGCAGCCAGAGATGTGATGTGGCCGCTCTATGAACTGAAAATCTACGCAGTCGCATCATCACAGCTCTTCACTGCTGAGCAGCCAGAGGTGTGAGGGCTGCCCCACTCTTTCCATGGACTGAGAAATGTCTCTAAACATTAATGCACATAACGTCCTCAACATTTTCAAACCACCTGCCCCATACGCCCCCGCCCCCCATCACCACCACCACCACTACAACTTTACAGCTTTAAATGTGAGCTGCCACAATCACTCTCTCTTTCTCTCTGGACTGAAACACGTTTGCATACAGATGCACATGAGCATAAAATAGTGGGTGAAGTCTGCTGAATACGAAATGTCAAAGCTAAAGTGCAAAACAACTCGAATAATAACAGTGAGACAGCATTTTTGATTCTGGCTCCTTCAACTGAAAACACTCGAGCACACATCAGTGAAGCTATACAGTCTCAGTTTGCTGAATGTAAGCTAAACAAGAGCAAAGGCAGAAAAAAAGATGTCTACGCGTTGATCCTGGACTTTCTCTCACTTGTTCGCTCCCGCATTACCTATAAAGAGATGCTGTCTAGAATTTGGATGAGCTTCTAGATATGAGATATTTTCAGATATGATGAGTTTGCTTGGCTCAAGGGTGTGAGAGGCTAAGCCATGAGGTGAGACATATGCTGTATTTATTCTCGGTTCCTGACTGCAAGCTGCTGTTTACTGAGCTGGAAACTTTCAAAAATTCTGTTTATTTACCGTAAAGTTGTTACATCTGTTCAGATTTCTACTCTGAGACATACTTTTTGCTTTAATTTGGTAGTAACGTAAAAACAATGCTGTATTTCGTATTTGAAGAGAAACCATTCTGCTTCTACAAGTCCGTACTTCCAGCACATTAACATTTTTATTATAGAAAGACGAGCATTAGCATTTTTGCGTCATTTATCTCACAGTTGCATTTAATTTGGTAAAGTCATCACTGAATTGATTCTCAGATCAATGGGTCAATAAAGCATTACGAGAAAAAAATTAAAATGTCCGTCACAATTTCCCACTTTTGATTTTTGAATCCAGAGTAATTCTGATTAGCAGCTAAACTTAAAAGGAAAAACAAGGAAAGCTTTAAAAAAGCAGAAATAGTTGATCAAAAATGGCTGAAGTGATTCAAATAATCCGAGTTAGTTTTCTGTTAATTTGATAATTCAGATGAATTTAAAATACTTTCCAAACACAAACGTAGATTCAATATAAAAAAAAATAATGTCTTGTAAAAATAAATGTATATTGGTCATAGATTTCACTGAAGATGTCTGTGAGGTCAGCAGGCAAATTCCTCTCAGTCTATTTTCAGGCTATAATATTTCTGTTCAAGTATGAGCGCCAAACCTTTTGTGTGACACTTCAACGCTGTTACTGACTGGTCTTCTGTACGTCTGCAGCTGAAAGATTGTTTAGGCCATAATTTTTTTTTTAAGAAGTATTTAAATTGGTCACATTTGTAGACTATATATTGGAGTTTAAATTTCAAAGCTTTAGTTGTTAGTCACTCCAACCTGAAAATTATTCTATTATCATACGCTTCGAAATCAGACTGTAAATTTACAGATCTTGTTAGGTTTCGCTTTTTTCATGAGTTCAAGTGTTTTGAGTCCAATATTTTGACATACTCATAATAACAATGTAGTAAATGATATATAGCTTCTGTTGTAAGCGCTGGAAAGAATGCACTTTCCACATACTGTAAAATCCATCAATGTTCCACTGTGATGCTCAGACCTGTGGTTTAGGTCCTGCTTTAAAAACACTGTTACCAGTTCCATGTGATACTTGCCTTTATTGCTGGCTTATAAACGGTTTCCTCATCAGCACTTTGTATTGAGGAGGCTTGGATGCTGAGACTGATCACTCAAGGATAACTACACCTCAGAGTTTCTGAGTCTGTCATGAATTTGTCTTTTATCACTATGTACTTTAACTTTATTTTAATTTTTTTTTGTCTGTTTCATGTCAATGATGGTTATGTTGCATTTCATTACACTGTTTGGACACAAAAATCCACACTTAAGTTTTTGTTGTTTTTTTTCTTTCGTGGAAATTTACTCTTGTTTTCAGGATTTTTGTTGTTTGGAAGCTATGTAATTTATTACAAAGCAATGTTTTGGTCGTCCCCCCCAAGCAAATGCATTCTGTCACACTGTTTTGGTTTAGTTACACAAAACCTGTCAAAAGTTGTAAAGAAACTCTTCAAGCCAACTCTGTCTTTGTCTTATCTACTGCATGTTTGTTCATTCATAGCATTGTGTGTTTGAGGTGCGTGTGTGTAAATGTGTGCATACACCAAATTCTAAATATTTAGCTGAAACAAATTATGAATAAAGCAGATTTATACTGAACTTGTTTTGTAACATTTCCTTTTGACCTTATTTTGCAGCATAATAAAATGTTTAAAAATCAGCATATAGACACAACTATTTAAATATTTTTAAGCTTATTTTGTCGTGGCCGGTATTTTTTGTGGAAATGGGAAAGATCATGCTTAACCGAGTCTTTCCATCCTGCATATTTTTTTTGTCTTATTTTCTAAATGGATTTAACTCCTGTTTAGGCAAGCTTTACACAGCGAATTACTCAACTCATAGTTGCGTATTGTTTTGTACTTTTTCAAAAATAAATAAATAAAAACTCAGTTCAGATAAACGTTTGGCGAGACGAGCATCATCATTTACATATACGATCTTCGATTTTTGCATCGAAGTGTCTTTTAATTGCCTGTTTAAAATAGCTTGTTTATTTTCACACGCATTTTTATAAATAAATTTTCCGTTTAATATGTCTTCACTGTCTAATATAAGATCTGTCGGTACAAACAAATAATAAATGAAGACGATATTGAATAAACCTTTTCTGTTCAATTTTCATGCAGGCATATATGTGGGCAAAAGGGTCCTTTTGCACGTTGCATTGCAGGCAGGAAAAGAAATGGTGTTGACCGTCCTTTGCTGGAGTTCATGTAATCTCTACTATTAAACCTGTATGGAAAATAATAAGTAATATGCGTATTTTTAAAGTCCTAAAAGGCTGCTGTTTTTCGTTTATTTGAACCGCGCTCAGACATGTCTGTAACCCGTTGCGTTCATTTGTTTTCTCGGCTCCAACGCCACTTAAACACCCGTACGAGTCGCATCGCAGGCGGTAGCTGTCGTTTTACTTCTGACTCTAGTTTGTTACTCCATCAGTATCCGAGTGGTTCTGCTGTTTTCTGTAGAGGTGTTTCAAATGGCTCAAGTCCAAAACTTCCGGACACCTCGCTGTTTGTTCCCGTCTCCCTGAACACTGACACTACGGATGATGGGAGTGTAGGAGCCGAACTGACTCAGCCTCTTGATAAAAGTGAGTAAAAGTCACAAAAGCGATACTTTTTGTTTGGAAGTTTATTCAGCGTGTAGAGAAACGAGCTCCTAGTAATACATAATGTTAGACTCACCTACTTGTTATGAAGTCGCATGTTATCAACTCTGCATTTCATCTGATTTCTGTTCATCTCTTGCTGTTCGTTTTTGTAATTTAAGGTGAATTGCTCAAAGTTCTGAACCGGTTTTACAAAAGAAAAGAGATGCAGAAGCTGGCAGCAGACCATGGCCTAGATTGTAAGTAATAAGCTGACAGAATTCATATCCATGTACCTTAACCTCTGACAAATCTTGTAACATTTTGTTTGACGGTTTATGCACCAAATCCATCCATCCATTATCTTCCGCTTATTCCGAAGTCGGGTCGCGGGGGCAGCAGCTTGAGCAGAGAGGCCCAGACATCTCTATCCACAGCCACCTCTTCCAGCTCTTCTGGGAGGACTCCCAAGTTGTTTCCAGGCCAACCGAGAGGCATAGTCTCTCCAGTATGTCCTGGGTCTTCCCCGGGGTTTCCTCCCAGTCGGACATGCCCGAAGCACCTCCCTAGGAAGTCGCCCAGGGAGCATCCTTACCAGATGCCCAAACCACCTCAACCGGCTCCTCTCGATGTGGAGGAGCAGCGGTTCTACTCTGAGTCTCTCCCAGATAACTGAACTTATCACCCTATCGCTAAGGGAGAGTCCAGCCACCCTGCGGAGGAAACCACCTAACCACCAAATCGCAGGATTTAACATGCCAGATTTTTTTGTACACAGACATTACTACAGTATATACGTTAACTGAAAGCAAATGAACACTGATGTGACCACATGAGACTTTTGATGCTGATATTAATGTAACCTTTTGCAGGACTGTCAAAGTTTACTTGGTTTGTTTTCTACTGCAGTCTGATTTTTGCACAGACCTCATTGACTGTGTTCCTTTTTGTGGCCAAACAGCTCGTCTGTTCCACCAAGCTTTCATCAACTTCAGGAAGTATGTCCTGGAAGTGGCATCACTGCCAGCTGATCTGCACATTATCCTCAATGACATCATCTGTAGTGCTGGTACGTCATCCACGCTGACTGTGTTCTTCTTGTAGTTTCTGTTAATTGATTTTTAATCATCTTCTATTGTTTGTAATATTTGCTTTTCTCCAGGGCATGTTGATGACATCTACCCGTACTTCATGCGTCATGCCAAACAAATTTTTCCGATGCTGGACTGTATGGATGACCTGAGAAAGATTTCAGACCTGAGAGTCCCAGCAAACTGGTATACATGACAGATCAGACCTGATTTAATCATTCTTATGCCTTTGTTTACTCTGTGGCTAACACTTTGAGGTACCATCACCTCTATATATTATTTGTAGTTTTCATAAGTGGTTGTGTGTACATCAGGTACCCTGAGACTCGAGCTATCCACCGGAAGGTGATCTTCCATGCTGGACCTACTAACAGTGGAAAAACCTACCATGCCATCAAGCGCTACCTTACAGCAAAATCTGGTGTCTATTGTGGCCCCCTGAAACTGCTGGCCCATGAGATCTTTGAGAAGAGCAACAGTGCAGTGAGTTGTTTTCATTTAAAGTTTTTAAATGAACGGAGTAAGAACTTCCAAAACAGAAAGGATGAAAATGGCAATCTGCAGGAAGAAAAAGCAGCATCTGTTTTTTTATTTATTTATTTATTTATTTTTTATCTGAAGTCATTTCCTGTCAAGCTTCCATCGTCATTATGCCTGTGTCTCCTCTCGCAGGATGTACCATGCGACTTGGTTACTGGCGAGGAGAGGACTTTTGTAGACCCGGATGGTCGAGCAGCTGGACATGTGGCGTGCACCATTGAGATGTGCAGTGTCACCACACCCTGTAAGCAGACATAACGTGCACAGTTTGTTGTTGTAGTGGTGTGATTTCAAGATGTTAACCGTAATCTCATACACTTTACATTGTGCATTAATTAGAAGAAAATTAACGTCATCCAAAGCACAGATCCTAAATTCTAAATTAAAATAGGGATATATTATTCAGTGGGTGTTTAGTGTTTAAGTTGAAGTGAAATCTGTATTTTTTTTCCTATTTGTTTCAAAAGGACATAGAAGATTTATTTTTTGTGGATTTTTTTTGGTGATGAAGTAATTTGAAGTTGACCAAATAATATTTTTTGTATTTTACATCGACCTGTCAGTTTCTGGGCAAATAATACCATCACATTAATTGTTGTAATCACGTTGCATCAACATCAACTTATTCTTAAATGAAAAACTTTATAGAAATGAACAACTGAAAAGTTGTTTTAGTAATGTATGTTTTTGCATTTCATCCCTTTGCTTTGTTCTTTGGAAAAATACATCTGTTCTCAGTTTGTGCTTCTCACTTGGCTCGATTTTTTTTTTTCTTTCCACTTTAAACTTTTGTTTGTTTTTTATTTTTTTATTCATATTTAAATATTTAGTAGAGAGATGCATTACTGTGTTGATAAAAAAGAGAATTATCGTATGCATTTGTCATTAATTTTTGTCCATATTGTAGATTGTGTTGCCTTTATGTCTTTACAGTGAATCTTGTTTGATTCTTAAAAACTGTCTTGTTTTGATAGGGTGAGCATTTTCAGTCTTTTCCAGTTCTTTCCCACAGGAGAGTTGCTGATAACAAATTCAAATATATTTCATGCCATTTGCACATTGTAACATTTTAAATTTCTTTAAAAAGAGCGGTTCCTTTCCAAAATGCATCCGTCCGAACAGAAACGCCTGTTGTTTATCCCCTGGTGAAGATTCGCATTCATCTTCATTCTGAGATGTTTTTAACCATTTTATGATTGGATTAAGTACAAATCACTGATTGACGGAATAATTTACCTCAGGTGGTTTGTATTTTTTGTGTTTCTGTAGACGAGGTGGCTGTTATTGATGAAATTCAAATGATCAAAGATCCATCCAGAGGCTGGGCGTGGACCAGAGCACTACTGGGTTTGTAACACATGTGTTGTTATCTCGCCTTAAACCTAGTTGAACCTCTTTAAATTTTCATCCTCCTGTGTGTTTGTGCAGGTCTGTGTGCAGAGGAGATCCACGTGTGTGGTGAACCTGCAGCTGTAGACTTTATCAAAGAGCTGATGTACACCACTGGAGAGGAGGTGGAGGTGAGGCAGGGACAAGATTTCTAGGGCTGTTTTCGAACCTTTCTGTGTGGAGTAACTGCAATCCCCTTGATATTTCTCCTCCGTCCTCAGGTTCACACCTATGAGCGCTTAACTCCATTATCTATCTTGAATTATGCTTTGGAGTCGTTGGATAACCTGAGGCCAGGAGACTGTATCGTGTGCTTCAATAAAAATGACATTTACTCTTTGAGCAGACAGATCGAGGTCAAAGGACTAGAGTGTGCTGTAATATACGGCAGCTTGCCTCCAGGTGAGTGTGTTTGTGGTTTTTATCGGACATTCCAGGAGTTTGTAAAATGATTGGATATCCTGAAAATGTTTATTCTTAATTTGATGAGAAAACCCAAAAAAATGATCAACCCGGTGTTTTATTTTATGTTGAGCAGCGGTAGAATCATGGCAGTTCAATGTGTGAGGAATAACTGTGTGTTTTCTAGATGGAAACGAGTCGTTCTTATTGCCTGAATACAGTCCTGAATATTCCTTTTCTGTCTGTAGTTTGGGCTAAATGTTAAGACACTGAAACTTTGATAAAATTCTGCAATAAATAATACTGGGTTTGGGTTCTGTTTATTGCATGTATGATTCAATGCAATAAAATAAACACATTTAAAAGGTAACAGATCATTGTAAAACTTGATTTATTTACACAATAACTTTAACTGCTGGATTTCTAGCCCCTGAGCTGCTGGCTTTCAGAAACTGTGGCCCCTGAACAGTTTTGTTGAATAGCCCTGTTCTAAGTTTATTTATACAGTGTGTATATATATAGATAGATATAGATATATATATATAGATAGATATAGATAGATATATATAGATAGATATATTTTTTTTCAGTAAAAAGTCTTTATTCTTCATTAATTTCAGGCACCAAGCTGTTGCAGGCCAAGAAGTTCAATGACCCCGATGACCCCTGTAAGATCATGGTTGCTACAGATGCTATTGGCATGGGCCTCAACCTGTAAGCACCATAATGCAGAACTGATGCCACTGCCGCCTCAAGTTTTACTGTCACACAAACAAAATTACATAGCCGTATAGCGTAATAAAAAGTGTTAGTTGCAGTCAAATTATTCCATTATTATTATTCCATGGTTATTTCTCATTGACATTTGAGACTTATTTACAGTATTACATGTTGTCTGGACTGTCAAAAGTCAGAAATCTGTGTCATGTACACAAGATCTTAAACAAAATGCTGCTCGTTCAGTGTCTTCTGCCCTTCTTCCCCATCTTTTCAGGAGTATAAAGCGTATCATCTTTAACTCGCTGATAAAGCCCAACATTAATGAGAAAGGAGAGAAACAGATGGAGACCATCAGCACATCACAAGCTCTGCAGATTGCAGGCCGAGCAGGAAGGTCAGTGTCTTCTCTGTCTCAGGTTCTCCTCATTCCAGTGGACTTAACATTTAGAGGGAAACGAGCCAGATATTCTTTATAAGTTTGAAATATCAAAGTGGTCTTCTCTGCAGGTTTTCCTCCAAATTTAAAGAAGGAGAAGTCACAACCATGCACAGAGATGACCTTCCTGTCCTGAAGGAACTCCTCAGCTACTCTGTAGAGCCCGTAGAGGTGATCATAGTAGTATCTAAAGCATAAAACTGCTCTTTTAGTCTGCATCCCATGAACCAAACAAACGTTTTATGTCCTTGTTTGTCTCAGACCGCAGGTCTCCATCCAACTGCGGAGCACATCGAGATGTTTGCTTATCATCTGCCTGATGCAACTCTCTCCAACCTAGTAGTGAGTAACCATGTTTGTTTTAGAGTGGCACGTATCTGATCATATTTGTTTGTTTTTTGTTTTTGTTCTTTTTTTAGTAAAGGCAGTGCAGTTACATTTGGTGCAAGGCAATTTTATTTATAAGCATTTTAAGCAAAAGCAATAGTTCTTAAAGGTTTAAAAATAAATATAATATGGCAATTTGATCATTTTTAATTAAATTTTTGATTATGTTAACAGACCAAGAAAGGTAAAATATGTTGCATTTTACTTTCTTTTTTTTTTTTTAAGCATATACATTTTTCAAAGACCAAAAAATGTACAGTATATCTCTTAACTAACAAAGAGATATGTTTCTGTTATTATTATTACCAAAAAAGTCTTGATAAGTGCAACAAAATGTGTTGTTATTAAAGTAAAAAGCAGACAAACATTAAAGTTCAAGTGTATGTAAAATTCCAGTAGTCATGTATTTCTCTTCCATCTTTTTTTCAGGACATCTTTGTCAGCCTCTCTCAAGTTGATGGTCTCTATTTTGTCTGCAACATTGATGACTTCAAGTTTCTGGCTGATATGATTCAGCATATACCGCTTAACCTGAGGTCACGCTACGTCTTTTGTACTGCCCCCATCAACAAAAAGCAGCCCTTCGTATGCACGTCCTTCCTAAAAGTGAGGAGAAGTAAAATTACACATAAGATATGATGGGAATCCTAAATCTGTGCTGAAAACACTGATGATAGTTGATGGAGAAACGGTGGAGTCAGTATTGTAGAATAATGAAGCAGTAATTTATTGACTAAATACTGTGTTCTAAGCTCTTTTACTTTATGATCACTTTAGGCTGATGTTAGAAAAAAAATTATTGAAGTAACTTTTGTGATTTAGAGCTTATTTGTTGCTAATGAGCAAAGAAAAATATTTGATACATAATGAATGCAAATGTTAAAAAAAAAATCACATACAGGGTTGTGAAAAATATTTATAATGTTATTAATGTATTTAATTTTACATACTGTCCTGAACAAATTTATTGGTCTTATTTCAGTTTGCACGTCAGTTCAGTCGAGACGAACCCTTAACATTCAACTGGGTCTGTCGGCACATTGGCTGGCCTGTGGCTGCACCCAAAAACATCAAGGACCTGGTTCACCTAGAAGCTGTCCATGACGTGTTGGATCTGTACCTTTGGTTAAGGTAAACACTTTGCATTTCCACTTCTCTAGATGTTTATGAGTGTAGTTGTTTATTGCATATTATTTTAATAAGTCTTGTATCTGCCTTATTCCTTGGGGCTCTACTGTTTGAATGATTATGGGTACTACTTCCTGTCAGACACAGGAAGTAGCAGTAAACATCGACTAACCATGGAGCATGGACTGTGGTTTATTTGAAAGTCATTTGCATTCAGTTTAGCAGATAAAACACTGTTTTTGTTTTGTTTACAGTTATTTAAGAGTCAGAGAGTCAGAGTTTCTTTATTTGTCATTCACACCACATGTGGTACATGTGGTGGAACGAAATTGTGTACACAGGGTCCCAGTTGCATCCAGCAAAAGTATAAAATCTAAAAGAAAAACGGTAATAAGATCTAAGATATAAACTAAGAAAAACGTTAACTAAAATACACTAAGCACTAGTAGTACAAAAACTACGCTGAACAGCAGCACGAACATGAGTCTGTGTGAGCAGATGAGCACGAATGAATACAGCAACATGAAACAGATCAGCAGCAACATGAAACAGATCAGCAGCAACATGATGTGATTTTTCACAGTGATGATTCTGGTTAGAGATTCATGAGTCTAACAGCCTCAGGGTAGAAGCTGTTCCTCAGTCTAGTGGTTCTACACTTAATGCTCCTCAACCTCCTTCCTGAGGGGAGTGGGGCAAAAAGTGTGTGTGCTGGGTGAGTGGGGTCCTTCATGATGCAGGTGGCCCTCTTCCTGCATCTGGAGGTGTAGATGTCTGTGATGGTGAGGAGACTGACTCTAACAGTCTTCTGTGCAGCCTTCACCACTCTCTGCAAAGCTTTTCTTTCTGCAGCTGTGCATGAACCATGTCACACGTTGATGCTGGAGCACAGGATGCTCTCCACAGCACACCTGTAGAAGGAGGTGAGGACTGAGCTTCCCAGACCAGCTCTTCTCAGCCGCCTGAGGAAGTAGAGTCTCTGATGAGCTTTCTTGAGCAGGCTGGTGATGTTGTTGCTCCAGCTGAGGTTGTCATTCAGGTGCACATTCAAGTACTTGTAGCTGGAGACCACTTCCACCGCAGATCCTCCTATGTTCAGCGGGAGGTAGCTGTGTTTATTCGTCGGAAGTCCACGACCATCTCCTTCATCTTCTTCACATTGATGTGAAGGTTGTTCTTCCTGCCTGTAGCTGGACTCATCGTTGTTTGTGATGCATCCCACCACCGTAACAACCACAAAGTTTACTAAAATAGCCTCACAGAGTTCAGACACCTGTTGTGTTCATGGCTGCTCAACAACCAGACCAAACTAAATCAGTGGCTACAACTACAGTGTTTTGAACACGGACCCAAAACAAAAAAACATGTTCCTGTGAAGCAGTATAGTTTCCATCGCCTACCTACAGATGAGGAATTAAGAAGAATGTGGCTGAAATATATGAACGTGAAGAGACCACCCAAAACGCTGTACTTTTTGCACAATAACAAATGCCGGTTCTGGTCCTCACCGGAAATTGCGCCCGTAATTCACGCAAGACAGCGTGGAACCTAGGAATAAGGTGGATAAACTAGCCTGATTTAATCCATTTTGTTGTTTTCTGTGTCTCTGTAGCTACCGTTTCATGGATATGTTTCCAGATACAGCCTCAATACGACAAATTCAGCATGAACTTGATGACATCATTCAACAGGGTGTCCAAAATATCACCCGTCTGATCAGAACCAGTGACCCAAAGCTCACAGACCCTCTGCAGATACAGAGCAAAACACTTGGCCAAGCGGGGAGTAACCATGAAGGATCAATCAACACTTTGCTGACCAGAAGCAAAGATCAGAGAGGCTCCAGAGAGAGGATAAATCTCTCTCTGACGAGTCGACTGGTGAGAGACGGGCTGTTGACTCCAGATTTACTCAAGCAGCTCCAGAAGGAATGGTCTCAAAAGCAGAAAGAAAGTCAGAATGCACTCAATGCAGAACAAAATCAGAACGACGGAAGGAAAAAGAAGCAGTAGAAGAGTAGAAACAGTCATGTGTTGTCCTCCATCATCATGGTTAGCTCTGTTTTAATGGACATTGATAACGCATTGAAGCCACAGCTCAGTTGTGTTGAATTAAAAAGATGTGCCGTACTGCAACACAACATGGACACAACAGGAGTTTGATTCTGGACATTTGGTCTGGATTATAAACTTCAAAAGACTTGAAGTGTTTTTACACTATCTGTTTAACATGTGCAACAAAAATCACCACCTTTGGTTTTTTTTTTTTGCCTACACATGGACAAATTGGGCATGGCTAGAAAATACTCATTCCTGATTAGTGTCTTGAAAAGTGGGCGTCTGGAAAGTAATTCTCCCTTTTTGTGAACAGAATAGCTTTGAAAAGTTTTTTGTTCTTGTTTAAGTACATATAACTTCCAACAAGCTGTGCTCAGATTTGTCTGATAGGATTATTATATTTTTTTGTCAGGAGGAGCATGAATGCTGTTTTAGATGCAAAAACATTTCCAGTGTAGATGCATTTGACTTTTTTTTTTATTTCACTCTGTTCAAGCAAGAGACTCTTCAGAAAGCAGGTCAAACTGTAAACACAGAGATAAGGATGAACTGTTCCCGTTGCTGTTCACATCTGGATTCATTTCTATACTTTCTTGTCTGAACATTTAAACAGGTGACATTTTTTAATAAAAAACGCTTTAACTGGATTTTTATTCTGTTTTGATTTGGAGCTTTGAATTACCAAAAGGGAGGTGGGAGAGTTTGGTCTAGTTAGGACTTGACCCCTGCCAAGAAATATTTTGAATATTTATAACCTCTATTAATAAACTTTTTTTTTTAATGCTCCAAATAGAATTAAATTGCTAAATGTCAGAACTTCTTTTATTTTACTTCTTTAAGTCACTTTAAATTAAATGAACTTAATATTTTTCCCTCTGTAACTCTTGGATGTGTTGTAAATGAACTGTAGGCTCTGCAGAATAAATCCAGATTAAGTCGTAAAGTGTGAATCTTCAGATCGGGTGAGGAAGATGAGAAGGGCTTGTCCTGTTAATCATTAAGTAGGTGCGGTGGTTTGTCAGTGCTCAGTGGACTCGGGAAGAAGAGGAAAGCCTGACAGGCAGTGACTGAAGGCAAACAATTTTTTTTGTTGTTTTTAGTGAAGTGTCCACTGCCCAGTACGCGGTCGTATCCACAGACCAGCTGTTTTTGTTGGTCTGTTCTGTGTATCATAATGTTGGCTGTTCATCTTGTTTCCTTCTTCTTCTCCAAACTCCAGGAGGATCCCACAAAGAAGGTAAGAGCTTGTTCTAATAAGGCACGTGCATTTTAAATACATTTTTAATGCGTTATGCTCTAGAAAAGGTAAGAAACTGACAATTCATGTGTAAGAATAATTATTTTACTGCCTGGCAGAAGTTAAACTTAAAGCAGCATGTTCATTTATTTTACATTTGACAAAGGTACAAAAAACATTGGATTCGTTGCTTTGTTTTCTGCTTTGAGTAACCGTAATTGTGTCAAGTTCGTCAAAGATTTAATCAGTTTCTCTCATGTAAAATTGCCTTTTTCTCACAGATTCCCATTTAAGTTTCAGAATTTACCCAAAATACAAACTGGCTGTAGTAAAAAGATCAACAGAACCTTTTATTTGCCTTAAAGTCATATTTCAAGGATGCTTTGCAGACGTGCAACATGCTAACTTTATTCAAATTAACAGATTAGGTAGGACTGTAAAAATGTGATCGTGCTGTAATCATTAATCACTGTTTCACCATTTCTGTCTTAATAATTAACAGCTTTCTCGGTGTCACTGAGGTGATTTAACTCACATTTCATAAAGGTCAAAGTACAAAGTAATATTCCAGATAAAGTACCTTAGTATTAGTGTATGTACAACACCAGTAAGTGAGATATTGTTTCATAAACATGTAACCACAATTATACATTGACTAATAGCAGATGGTGTGCCTTCAGATTAATACATACATGATTAATTGTAGCTGATTAAATAACATTTTTTTTAGTAATTCTAAGATATGTTCTAAAATTATGCATATAATGAGAGTTTTATATTCAGATCTGATGAAAAAAGCAACGATTAAAACATGTTCAGTTAATGTAGGTGAAACAGAAAACTTACAAAACATTGAATAAAATACATGACTGAGCTTTAGTTTTTGTTAGAATCTAAACATTTACTACTCATAAGTACGTAACCTATTTTTCTTAAAGGACATGATGTAAGGGGACAAATAATGGAGCACAAAAATAATTTGTATATTTAAATGTTTTTGTTTTTTCTCATATATTAGCAGCACCTGTTTATGAATCACTAATTAATAATGATAATGAATAAGAACAGAAAGCCCTCAGATGTGCTTTTATTACTGTAAACTCAGATACTCGCACAATAGAATTTGTTGAGTAAAGTATATATCGGTGTGTGTCTCTTATATACATATATATGTATATATGTATACAAGATATACATATATAGAGAGATAGTTAGATATATAGAGATAGATACATAGATAGATTATATATATACAGTATATAT